GTACGACGTACGTACGTACGTACGTACGTACGTACGTACGTACGTAGTACGTAGTACGTAGTAGTAGTAGAGAGAGAGAGAGAGAGAGAGAGAGAGAGAGAGAGAGAGAGAGAGAAGGAGGCCTCATATTGAACACTTGGAGCCCTTTGCCGAGGGCCTTTTTCAACCCTTGGCCAATGGTTCCATTGGGCCACCTAAGCAGGAGCACAAGCACATCTGAATACGGTCCGGCCCAAGGCTGATTTGTTTTGATAGCTCCCTAGCCTACCGAGGTGGCCAAGCGGGCAAGAATTTTGTTCACTTATCGACTTAATTCTCCAATTTCAAGTTGTTGTAATCATTTGTTTATGATTGAATTGATTTAGCAGCTTCTCTACTTATGTTGTATTTCTTTGTTTAACATAAATACATTAGTTAATGAGAAAAACACATGAGGCAAAGTATTAGTTATAATAAAATAATGTATGATGTGATAGTTTTGATCCTGACTTATGTTTGTTATGGTGCATATTATTTACATCTTAATTTCTAGGATAGTCCTAATTGCTTTTAGCAATAATGTAAGTAGCAATTTCAATTTTTGATCCTCTTTTTTAAATTTATACAGGACATGTTTCACCCAGTGGAGGTTACAAATGGTCTTTGGATAATTCCTGAGTGGAGAACTCCTGTAGTATGATTCTTGTCCTATAAATTAGAAGTTCTTTCCTTCATAATGAATATAATCTTATAAACAATGCCTTAGGGTTCATTGTTCTAACAACTTAGTAACTTACTCCTCTGTCTAATATATTTTATCTATTAATATCATTTGTGGAAGATAATTATATAAAATAATTGGGATAAGGCTTAGTTGATGATGAATTATATAAAATAATGTTAAGCATAATTAAGAAACTTGTTGATGTACTTGTCATGGTTTCAACGTATTATCATTTGGTCTTCAAGTTTAACTAAAGCTCATTAAAATAGGATTTATACCAAGCCTTATGCGAAAAGGGTCTTGTACAAAACAAACTTTAGAATCCAAATTTGATGGAGAGCAAAATTATTCTTATTTTTATTTTTTTATTTAATTTCAAAGGATGTTTGTTATAGTTTTAGTTCTAGGATTTAATTCTAGAGGTTTTTTAGTTTTTTAGGGATTCTAGGGTTTTTATGTTTTTTATTTATATTCACAATTACTGTTCATTAAATACTGTTCATGGGTACTATTCATAGGGGTAAAAACTGTCATTATGAATTTTAACTTAAGTTAGGATATATGGGTCAATGTATCATTTGTTTGGACACTTTTTGTACTTGGAACATTAAATTATTATATATAAGAGGTATGTGGGGCCTTAAGGGGGTCATTCCACATGATTTTTAGAAATCGAAAGAGAGAAAAGCTTAGGCTTTTGGAACCCTAGCTTGGGGTATGGAGAAGATACCCTAGGTTTATTTGAATTATGCTTGTGTTTGGTTTTGTTTCTTGCTGATTTTACTCTTCCCTTAAATTTTTCAACTTCAAATATGTATTAGAACAAGGAGCTCAACAACAAGGGCCAGGAACTGTAGCCAATGTAAGGTTTGCTGAATTTGGCCCAATTTTGCCAAATCAGCCTAGAGATTGCTGATTTTAGCTAGTTTTTGGTGATCATCGGCTTAGAATTTGTGATTTTGGTGAACCCATAGCAGCAAGAAGGGGCGGTGTAAGGGGGCTTTTCTTATATCCGCTCTGTGATCCTATAGATGAGAGAATTGATGAACTTGAAAGGTAAGTTTCAGCAGCTGATGCAACAGTTCACGAGCCTCAATAATGGGCAAGAGGGTGATCTTTCAGCCCAAGAGGATTTTGAGTACAAGCCTTTGCACTTTCGTGCTCCGCGTGTGGAGTCAAGTGATATTGATAGTGATAGAATACCTAGATGTTGGGATCATAAATATAGGGTTTTCGATTTGAAGGATGAGATTTTTTATTTTGACACAGATTGCATTGAAAACTAGCAAGTCGTGGATTGAGATTTACCACCAATCTTCGATATTGTTGGGATTTACCAAATTCTTTTTGGGAGTTTCCAAATTTTTGAATTGAAATTCAAATATTGAATTTCAAATTTGTAATGTTGTGCACTTTCTAATTTGGATGAGCGTTGCTTCCCATTTTTTGAGTTTTTATCATACCCAACCCCTTCACACACTGTTCACCCACATCCATTACCTGACATTCATACCAACTTAACATTACTGTACGCTGCTGATTCATCCCACATTATTGAGCAATCAACATCTTCTCCAACCTATATCATGCTTCCATCATCTCCATCTCCATTACCATCTATGCTTCCAAATGCCCCCTGGCGTTCCAAACGGTCTCACAACTTCCAAAATATTTACAAGATTACCATTGGTTAATCAATGTGTCTTCTCAACCAGCTATAATTTCTCCTCCTCAAGATGTTCTCTATCCATTAAGTATTGTCGTCTCTTATGACAGACTTTCTGCCTCTTGCAAAATTTTTGCCACTACCATTTCTTCTATATGTGAACCCACTTCTTTCAAACAAGCCTCCACTGATCCCAATTGGAGGGAAGCAATGAGCAAAGCGATCATTGTATTAGAAGCCAATAATACATGGTCCTTGGTTGAACTACCCCCCGGCCCCATTGGTTACAAATGGGCTTACAAGATAAAGTACAAAGCAGATGGGTCTATCGAGCGTTACAAGGCTCGATTGGTTGCCAAAGGCTTCTTTCAAACAAGCCTCCACTGATTCTAATTGGAGGGAAGCAATTAGTAAGAGGAGCTTGATTATCATGAAACCTTTGCTCCCATAGCAAAGCTTACCACTTTTTGTTGTCTTCTTGCATTTGTTGCTATTAAAAATTGGTCTTTGTACCAACTGGATGTCCAAAATGCTTTTTTGCATGGTGATTTATACAAAGAGGTATTTATAAAGATATTACCAGGTTTTTCACGTAAGGGAGAGCATTGAGTTTGCTGTTTGAATAAGTTCGTTTGTCGACTTAAACATGCGTCTAGGCAATGGTGTGCCAAATTTTCAGATGCATTACTAGCAGCAGGATATGTTCAATCAAATGCGGATTATTGTTTATTCGCTAACATTTCTAGCAGTTCATGCACATATGTCATGTTCTGTGTAGATGATATCGTGATCACCGACAATGACATTAATGTCATTAATACTCTCAAGACCTTTCTCAGTGATCAATTTCATATCAAAGATTTAGGTTTTAGGTCCTTTCACATACTTTATTGGCATTGCGGTTCCTCGTTTTAAAAAGGGAATTCTCCTCACATACACTCTCGAGATTCTTCAAGGCATGGGTCTTTTGGCTGCCAGATCTGTTGCTTTCAACAAAATTTAAAATTGAATGCAACCAATGGACCTTTTTTGGATGATCCTATGCCTTATTGGCATTTGATTGGAAGACTTATATATCTCACCAATACAAGGCTCGATATTATTTATCTTATCCACATCCTTAGTCATCATGATCCAACCTCGCAAACCACGTTTAGATGCTGCTACTCAAGTCCTTCATTACTTAAAAGAAACACCTGGCTAAGGAATTCTACTTTCTGCTACTAGTATTATGCAACTCTCTACCTATTGTGACTTTGATTGGGCTAGTTGCCCTATGACTCGACGCTCAACTACCGGATACTACACTATGTTTGGTTGGAAAACTTAGAAGCAACATACAGTTTCACAATCATCTGCAGAAGCTAAGTATCGTTCCATGGCAATTGCATTGTGTGAACTTATCTGGCTAAACTACCTCTTATCTGATCGTGGCATTTCTCATAATGGCCCTTGCGACAACAAATCCGCTCTACATATTGTCGTCAATCCAGTCCTTCATGAGCGAACAAAACATATTGAACTTGATTGTCATCTAGTTTGAAAGAAAATTCAGCAGGGCCTAATTCGTACTGCCCATTTCCATACTAGTCACAAAAGCTCTTGGGAAAGAGCAATTGCAGTTTCTTATAGGCAAGTTGGGCATTCTCAATGTTTACGCTCCAACTTGAGGGGGAGTGTTGGGATTTACCAAATTCTTGTTGGGATTTACTATATTTTTTAATTGAAATTCAATTCTTGAATTTCAAATTTTGTAGTGTTTTACACTTTCTAATTTGCATAAGCATTATACACTTTTCTTTTCTTTATTGGATGCATTCCTATTATTATAGGGATCACAATTTCTTGTATCTTCCATAGATATCTTCACGATTGGGTAATACAATTCATTTAAATTTGCTCCAAAACTTGATATAAGAACAGTCCCTGGTTTGTCAGAATGATGTAAAAAATAAGGGGATTGGGTCGAAATAAGATTAGTACCATGAGGATTTTGTTTTTCAGACGAAAGAACTATGGTAGTGTTGTTATTGATGTCATTCATGGCTCACAAAACTTTGAAGAATGAGGAAGTGCAGCAGCGTGGAATCTCTCAAGTTTGTAGGGCGTGTGATCAAGATGGAGATACGTGTAGTGTCTCAAGTTGACTCTGATATCATGAGCCCTTGGTTGGTATGGTCTTAAACTTTGTGGATGCAAGTAGAGATCCTTCCCAAGTGGTGCAAAACGATGTTGTTGCAAGCATGCTTATCTCAGCGGCCTTGCTTTTTGGGTTCCAATATCTCTTAGACTACAATTAGTATGCTATGTCAAGAGGTGGTCTTGCTAGCTAGACTGAGACAACTTGAGAGGTTCTCCAAAAGACCAACGGTGCAAAAATTAGGAGAAGAGAGAAAGTGTCAAAAGGTGCTAGAGAGAGAGAGATTGGAAGAGTACCAAACAATGGAGAGAAGAGGGAGAAGGTCCCAAATGATGGGAGGGAGACTTAAAGACCCAAAAAGATTGAAGAGAGAAATGATAGATAAGAGCATTCTGCTGCTGATGCAAAGTTCTTGGAAATGTGTATTAGGCGACAATATCAATCTATTGAGAAGGTAAACCATGTTATGATACCATGTCAAGTTTTGGTGCAAATTTGAATGAATTATATTTATCCAATTGTAGGAATATTTATAGAGGATACAAGAAGTTGTGATCCCCTTGATTTTAGGGATCTATCCAACAAAAAAAAGAAAAATGTATAATGCTTATCCATATTCAAAAGTGTACAACATTACAAAATTAGAAATTCAATATTTGTGTTTCAATTACAAAATTTGGTAAATCCCAATAGATATATACCTCGATGAACAAAAAAATCATTTAGGGGATTTGTTCTATGTTAAGGATCAAGATGATGATGAAGAAATTTTGGGAGAGGGTTGAAGAATATGAACAGAAGGCTGCAGGAGGACTGGTCCAAATCATGGCCTTTGAAGCTCCCATTAATATCAAAGAGATAGAGCATTCAAGAAATTTAAGGCATGGAATCAGAGTAGCGCAATGGAAGTGTAATCGTCTGATAAACCGTCGATTTTAAGTTTGAAGGACAAAAAATTGGGTTTGAAGTTTCCTCCACCATTTTTAATGGGAGTTCAAGAATAGCCGAATTTGATAAATTTGCATTGATTCCTCAATATAAATATTAGGAAACATATCTTGAGGAATTCTTTTTACCATGAATAAAATTTGAGCCGACAAAGAAAAAGAAGGTTGAAGAAGGTGATTTTTATGTTGAATTAATCTTAGTGCACTTCAAAACTCG